AATATACAATTGTTTTAACTGGTTCACACAAAAAGTATTTAAAAATCATTGTCGTTATACCCAAGGTTTCCATAATGTTTATTGTAAATTTGTTGTCTCACAATGACATAACTGTTTAGGATCACAAGTTAAAACAAATACACTCAAAGACGTGTTCCATGTAATTGACATCTGTTTTTCTAATAAGAATTTTTTTTAACAAAGTTTATTCTGAAGATAAAAACTGGGTGCTCAAAGACGACCTGTAATTCTAGACCATTCCATAGTCATATCCATTAACTATTACAATATTGTTTTTATAGATTAACTCTCCAATCCCACCCAGAAATGATCACTTAACCCAGGGTTAAAAAATAGTGCTCATTTCAGGTTCTTCAGAATAGTTTATAGATATCTTGTTCTTTGTTTATTGATTAGTTTGAAAAATAATGCGACGGCACGTACAGGTAACGAACCGAAATACCAATAAAATACAACGTTGATTTTGTAAAAGTTCGTTTTCTTACACTAAATTTGCCTTCGAAATTCGACAGAGAGAAAGAAACTCGTGATGCAAAGGATTGTGGAGCGGAATTTGGAAACATGAAAGAGCGGAGCTTTCTGATCTCCAATTCTGATCTCCAATTCTGATCTACATTCGTATAAATAGCTGTATTGTCAGGCTACCTTTTATTTTTATTTTTCAAAGGATGGTCGGTTATTAGAGGTTTACTGCCGTAATAATAATCGACCCTTTGCTAAGAATGGTCGATACAAGAGGTTCAATTGCATATTACTGTAGATTACCCCTTTTTATGACCAGTTAATTTATGATGCTGAACGCGGTCGATATGAGAGGTTCAACTCTTTTCCAATATTTTTAATCGATTGTTTTTTTWAATTTTATTTCAGGGTTTCTTCATATTTATCTTCCATTGCCTCCTCGACCTCCAGGTAAGAAGATTTCAAACAGAGATACCAAACCTCTAAGCTTGATATTGCCACATAAATGTATTTTTGCACCCGGGAATCCTTACTCTATGTTTAAAGAACTCTTTAGTAGCTTGGGTGTAATGTTTTCCCATTTCAGATCACGTTTCATTCCCTAGAGTATTATTTCTTTGTTTACCGGTTGCACATGAGAAGACACATGAATATTGATACAACTTAAACAAAGAATCTTGTTCTCRAGAGAATGGCACGTGGTCTGAAATGGGAAAACATTACGCCCAAGCTAAAAAGGCCTATTCCTTTAACGCATATTTTACGACCTCCAACAAAATTTGTATTTTTTTCCTCGAAGGTCCAAACCGCTGTTAAGAGCTGGTCAGTCAAGAGAGAACGAACAGAATCGAACCTAGGCCTGCGCGCACTCTCGTCTTCATCCAATCCAAGCAACAGGGTAAGGATACCAGATCATGTGTCATTCCCTTGAGTATGAATCTTTTGATTTTCTGGAGAAAATTTCTTGGGCCAAGAAGGGTTGAAAGAATAGACCATTTTTTCTTTGTATACATCTTGAAACCACTTGCAAGGGCGGTTTTACAAGCCATTATTTTTGCTCCATTTTTAGCTGGACACCAGGACGTCAAGTGCTGCATCTACGTTGCCAACAGACAAAAGACGCAAAAATAAAAGCGAAGTAAGTCTCCTAATATCACTGGCTAGCTAACCTGTGACACGCGTTCCATGCTCAAATATAGACAGGGTTCTTAGGGGTCAGGGAGAAGTCAGGGGAAAAACACAGTCAGAGAAAAGTCAGGGAATTTTTATTTTCAAAATGGCTGGGATCCCTGATAAAAGTTATTTGAAATATCCTTCTATGCAGGAATTTAGTTTAATGTATAGGGATTCTTCTGCGAGTTTTTTCAATTTGAACCAAGCTTTCGGCCATAGCGGCTATCTTCAGGGTTGTGAAAGGGATGGAGGAAATCTGGAGACCCCGGAGAAAATCCTCAAAGCACAGGAAAGAACCAACAAGCAACTCTACTCACATATAATTAAGAACATATTTATTACAGTTCTTATCATTTTTAGCTACAACAATATCTAATGATTGTATACTTTCCTGTTCATTTTCAGCAGAAGGACAACTTCGACACCGTAGTCGTATGAAGAGCCATTGCTAAGGTAACCAGACCATAATATTAGGAATAAATTATCCATTGAAATCTACACTTCAAACTACGTACTTAAAATACTTGTAGTCACCAAAATGGATGTGGATTGGATTACTTTCGCATGGTTGTCTCAAGCTTTATTTTTCATTCATGGTTGTCTGGAACAGCATCTGGTGCGATAATTTTATGCTTTGAGCTCGTTTGACATGWGTGGTGCCTTACTGAATTAGCAGTAAAACTTTACAGCAGTTACTCCATGAAGAAGTTTGAGTAGGACCATCGTCTTTAATACTTTGAGCCTTCGTTCTTATGGATCAGCGGCTATACATAATATTTATGCGTGTTGTCTTAACGATAAAACATTACAGCACCTTCGTCCTTAATACTTTGAGCCTTTGTTCTTATGGATCAGCGGCTATACATAATATTTATGCGTGTTGTCTTAACGATAAAACATTACAGCACCTTCGTCCTTAATACTTTGAGCCTTCGTTCTTGTGGATCAGTGGCTATACGTAATATTTATGCTTGGTATCTTAATTAACGGTAAAACATCACAGCAGTTACAACATAGTGGAGTCACGTGGTACAACTTCGACTGCTGTAGCATGAGCCTTTGTTCCTTTTGATCAGCGGCTTGGCTTACATAAAATGTACTACAACTTAATAAAATCTACCAAGAAATATCTATAAATGGACTTCTATATGTGTCCTCTAAAATCACCTGGGCCTACTGTGCTTTTGGCCAGCAGCTACACTTTTAGTGATGCAATATTATAATAAGTGGAAGAGAGATGTTAACAGGACGCTACCTGATTTGATTCTGGATTTTGCATCACCTTTTGGCTAGCAACTTACACTTATAGAAAGACATGCCAGTAACTGGAGTAGTACTATGCATATGAATAGGACTTTTCATTGGATTGTGAATCCTTCATTCAACCTGAGCCCTCTCTACTTATGGTCAGCAGCTACACTTATCCTAACGCATTATACAAGTCACTGATTTATTTATGTGATTGGACGTATTCTTTGAATTTTGCTCTTGAGCCTTCACTTTTTTCGACCAGCAGTTAGGCCTGTATTGAAACTGACGTTATACCAGCACAAAATGAAATATTGTTGTAAGACTAATAATAGACAGTATAAAAACTCATAGATTGGTTTCTGTAGCATTTATTCTTGTTAAAAACCAACATAAATATGCTAAAATCGAGTCTCCTTCGTCGGCCTAATCCCTATGTTATAACAGAGAGCATAAATAAGAGAGAGAAAAAAACTTCTTAATAAAGCGCGCGCCATGTAAATCCCCGTTTGGGCTATGTTAGTAACCGGATGCAGTTTAAATTTTGCCTTACCCTTAAAAAAAAAAACTGTTCTAAGTCAGGGCACGGCTAACTCAAAGATTGAACCCTGAAAAACTTCCGGATTCATCTAATGGCGCTTTCAAATTCAGTCGAACCGATCGCTCCAAGCGGCTAGTTCTCAAATGGTAACCGCGACAGTAAGTAAGAGCCTAAAGTCGGGCACGACCATCTCGCATCCAAATTCAAATCTAGCGATTTCACAACCAATCGTACTGATTCGTATTTTCTTGGTTAACCACTTGGCTCCCCCAAAAAATTGGTTAAAAATATGAGTGTGATACAAGACGCTCGAATTTACTGCGCATGCGTCGTTTTGATAAATGAGTTGACTTATTTTACAGTTATCCGTCCGTTATAGCGCTACCAACGATAATAAGGATCTCTTGGTTCTATAGAGGCTACTCTGGAAAACCCTTGAACTATTCTTTCAAAGGATACGTTAATATTTATAGTGGATTAAGCGATAGAGCAGATGGACGAAAATGAGATGTCGTTACATAAATTCACTTCAAGTGGTCAGGAAAGCGATCGATCGGTGATAGTCCGCGCCGGTTCGCACATTTAAAACGTGAGCCAGCTGATCTGAAATCTGAAAGTGAAAGTTGACCAGCGAAAATTATAAACATGTCCGCCATTGGAATAAAAAGATATAAATCATTAGTTGTTGTGTCACTGTTATCAACCTCTTATTAGCAATTTTTTTTTTTTTTTTTTTTTTTTTTTTTTTTTTTGGCCTGGACTGAAATCCATATTTTTATGTGGAAAAGGGACACCTCAGTTTGTGCAAATGTTCTCGATTCTTATTGGCTCACATTTTTTCTCAGATCAGCTGGAGGTGGAGATACATATATATATATATATATATATATATATAAGTATAAGTAGAGCGCACATCTAAAACACTAAATAGATGTTTTTACACGTGTTGGAAATAATTACTTCATAACAAAAAAAGTATGAGAAAAACTAACTGTAAAAAAATMTCAAGGTGCCATGCGCATGCGCGTGAAACACTTCAATGTTTCAAACTCATGAACTATAATTTGTGTAAGTAGAAATATGGATAAGTTATATTAATTCCAAGGGTCTTTCGCCCGGAATAACCTCGTTCCCRAGCACTATAACGTATCCATATTTATATATCTTCATGTATTTCATAAGTGCTACGCGGTCCATATATTCTCATCTTTGTGTAAGTAGTTTTATTGCGCATAACTATTTTCATTTGTTTCTATCATTTCCGTCGTAAGATTCAATCAAAACACTTTAACAAAATAAGACAGATTTTAAAAGTTTATTACGATGTTTTTTACTTACAGCTATTTCAAAAAAGGTTGAATACTGCATACTGATTCCTACGGATTTTTGACTTTCGTTTCCCCTCCACCCTTCATAAAGTCTTTGTTTCTTCGTAAGATTGTTTAAAACGAACAGTCAAGGCCCGTTTAACACGCCGGCATAAGCATAAGCATAGAATAGAAAATCTTAGCTTTTTTTTGGGGTACCGAAACAGTTTACGTAATTCAATAGATCAAACGACAAAAAACCCTAGATTTTCCAAGATTTTTATTAATTAAAATTTAATTACAATTAGAATTTAATTAAAATTAAAAAACAATTAAAATTAAGATTTTAAATTGTTACTCAGAAGTGCCTGTAAATTTGAGATGGGATAAAATGACAGTTTCAGCTTGAGAAAATAATTGATCTTTCGATTCAAGCAAAAAGAAAACCAGTTCGGAAGGGTAAGTGAAATCGTTAGGAACATTAGTCTTCGAGTACCGTCATTTCCTGAAAAGAACAACTAGACATTTCGCTTTTCGTGAAACTTCTCATGTCTTCTTAAGAACAGATGTTCTGAAGCTTCCTACATAATGTTAGTCAGCTCTTTGTATCTAATTGAAGAAACTTTACTGCATCATTAAAGATACGAACATTAACAGATAAAGAAATATCCAATTCTGAATTGATCCTACTACGTCAATGAGATTCGAATCGACCAATGTCTGCTTTGATGAAGTCGTTAGTTTCAAGTGCGAAAGGTTCGCCAATCAATCTATAACACAGGCTATTGAACCCACGATTCCCAGATGTTTTAACTACTATTCATTACAGATAACTTACAATCAACTTTCTTGTTATATAAGCTTTAGAAGGGAGTGCTGACCGACACTGACATTCTACCAAAATTGGGCTTCTTCGATTCTGGCATTTCACTATAGTTCTAAACCCAGTTGGTAATCTTTTACTCTAACTAACTGGCTTCCACTAAGACGTGTTCAATTTCCTTGTCATAGTATCAAGTATATATTCACTTGGTTACCGACTTTTTTTTCTTTTTCAAACGTACCGTAAGCTACAAGGTTTGGATTTAAGATTCACCTAAACAAGATGAATAATTCTTCGTGCAACGTTTCTCAAGTCGTAAACAACCATACGTATACAACGATGTCTCCACTGTGTAGCCATTTGCAGTTCTGTCTTAAATACAATGAATCGTCTGTTTACATCGAAATGGTTGTAGTAATGTTAACAGTGCTGGACGTTTTTATAATCCTGACTACTTTGCTCTGCAATGGACTATTTATTCTTTCATTCTTCCTCTATCAGAGCCTTCACACGCCTTCGAACATTATACTCCTGAACCTCGCCATCGTAAACATAACGTTTGGAACTTTCGGTCTAATTTTCTGTTGTCTTTTTCAAACTCAGTTCGTTTCCTGCCAGAGAAAACTTTGTTTTTTTAAGAACCTTTACGTTTTCTTTTTCGGGACTGGGATGTCATTTACATTGACAATTTTTACATTCATAAGTTTGGAAAGGTTTGTTTGTATCTTCTTTGCGCTTCGTTGGGAAGAGATTTCAACGAAGCGACGAGCCTCGATGGTTGTTGCGTTTACCTGGGTCTTCTGGCTTGGGGTATCTTGTCCGTTGCAAGCTGTTGGTCGGTGGGACATCTTTGAAAACATTTACTTTGTCCTCGTAACCTCGAGTTTTTTTATCATTTTAATCACTAATGGATCAATTCTTAAAGAAATCCGACGTCATGAAAAGAGAATCGCTCAAGATGAAGTCTCGTCCAGCGCGGACGAAATCCGCAAAGCGCGGGAAAAAAAGCGCTCCAAAACGATCAGTTTGATGGTCGCGCTTGTTTTCTTGTGTTATTTACCGAGTGTCTTCCTGGTTATGCTGAGCAAAATTCCTTCAGTTGACCAGGTTGATCTGCAGTACGGATGGATGGCTTGCAGGACAATTTCTCTAAGTCATTCGACTTTCGACATTGTTGTGTATGGATTGAGGACCGAGGAGATCAGAAAGGCTTTCAAGAAAGTTCTGCTGAAGTTACGTGGGTCTGTCGTGGCACCCAACCAGCATACTTAAAGGGAACAGTATCGCAGCGGGAGCTCTCAGATGTTTTATTGTTTAGCCTTCTAAAAACTTAAAAATATAACTAGGGAACCGAAAACATTAGGAAATTTAAGCCATCTGTTGTTGATAGCAAACGTGAAGTGTTAGTTTTCAATGAGCAAAATATTCTTAGAATTAGTGAAAAAGAAGCGAAAAATAGTCCTCACTGTGAAGATTAAAATACCCCGGGCGATATATTCTTAGATTAAAAGCGCTTGATTTGCGCAAATATACGAGTTTTAGTCGTCTAAAGATGTTGTGTTCCAAGTCTTATTTACTAGAAGAGAATTATTTACTAGGTAAAATTTGTCGTCTTTGACTTCAAATTTATATTTTGTTTTACAAACGTTTTAATCTATTAACGTTTCAATAAACAAATCCAAGTGTTGCTTTCGACGCGCTCGGAGGAACGTTTTTCGGTCTTTTTTTTTTTTTTTTCTTATTTATTTATTTATTCTTTCGTCGTAAATTGTTTTTAATGCTTGGAGATTTCTGAGTGGTTGAAACCAGTAATATATATATATAATGAAGATATTTTTCCCATTCAAACTTAACACACGTCTTTGCTCTTGGGAAATCTAAAAGGTTATCATCTCACGTGGGCGCGGCATGAATATGACGCACTTGTGGGGACTTGTCAGGCACTGAGAGACAAACTGAAGTCGTTCAATTGAAAGGCCACTAGATATTCATTCTTTTCTATACCTTCTCTAGGGACCACTTTTGATTTCACTCTACTTCTGACTCGATCCACTTCACTTTAATTCTGACTCGAGATGTTAGTAAGTATAGGGCCTCAGTAACGATAAATTTTGCAAAATATCTACAGGAGTGACCCTATCAAAATAAAGAAATCTGTCTATCTCCTTTTCTGACTGTCTGTCTGTCACGCTCTTTGTTTCTCTCCCTCGTTAGTGTAGATGTGACTTTCTAAGTAATGTTTACAATATGAGCGGCCGTGTTGTATCGACTATGCAATCACGGCCGGAGGCGACTTTCGCGTCTGTGTTGTATCGGGCATGCAATCACTCRCCTCCGGCTCGTGATCGTATGGTCGATACAACACGGCCGCTCATGTTGTAAACAACTTGTGAAATCCCGTGAATTAAATGCGAACAGTAGTGCTGTATCAGAACAGTATACATCCACTAGTGGTTATATCTAATTAGCATTTTCATTGTAAGGTTGGTATCGGGTTTACATGATATTCACGTGACCTGATTTCTAAAGTTGTATTGGCTTAGGCCCTCATTAATTATTCATGAACTTTACAAGTAAATTTAGCATACTTGAAGTAGTTTTTAAGCATCCGTGATGAAGCCCTGGAAGAACAATTAGCAATATTCAAGCCCATTAGCTCACTAGTCAAGTCAAGGCCTCACCACCATTTTAATGGGGCTTAAAAGCCTTCTTGCCGATTCATGCTCTCAGAATCCTTGAATCTTTAGTATTTATGCATATCCTGCCAATCTGTGTCAGTCATGAACAGGTAATGCGTTTTTGATTTTATAAAAACGGATAATTTCCGGTAGAAAAGGCAAATACTTACATGCAGGTTTTTTTGTTAGTTTTTTTCCTGTTGCTGCTAGCTGGGGCAGGCACTGGATCACTGCGTTCGAACCTTTTCAACTTTCATAATTGACTAAAGACAACTGCGTGTTAAGCACATTGAAGTGATCCCATTACTCACTTGGTCTTTTCTTCAATTCTACGCGACCATTAACTACTGCAAAGCAACCAAGTAGAATGGATAATGCGATACTTGGGCATCATAGTGAGCGCACACGCAAGTGAGTGGTATAAATAAGGGTTTGATAGCAATAGCTTGCCAGAAGATTTAACTTTGATCTTCTTAGATATCTTATTCTCTTGCTCGTGGTTCAGTCTAGCTTACTTTATCTTCAGCTGTCGTTCAATAGAATCAGTCGCCATTTGGAAACCAATAGACACACTAGATCCAGTTTCTCCGGCAGTTTCGTTATCTAGCCTTGGTTTGCGAAGCTTGTGTCAGTACGCTGTCTTGGGTTTCTTGTAGACGCATCTTCAAGAAAAACACTGTTTGCACAGAACAGTTTAGGGCTTCTTTTTTGACACCAATAACCTGGGGTACTACTGACTGGGCTCTGCCGTACTTATTTCCCTCGATAAACACTGTACGATAGACAAGCCTGATATTTGCAGTAAAATACCGTCCTGTCTTCCCTCATAGAGCACTTATGGCGAACAACACTACAGATAGGTCTCTCTCGGTGACATGCGAAGATTTACAGCTATGTTTTCGCTACAACGAGTCCTCCTTTTACCTTGACGTAGTAGTCGTGATTCTAACCATCCTCGACATCTTTTTTATCATCGCAACAATTCTTAGCAATGGGATTTTTATTCTCTCTCTCTACCGTTTCGAAAATCTACGAAAATCCTCCAACTACCTACTTTTGAATCTGGCCGTAGGAAACTCTATTTTTGGGACTTTATCGTTATCGATTTGCGGCGTTTTTCAACTTCGATTTATCGATTGTAAACTAGACATGTGTTTTTACCAAGACATGTTTGTCTATTTGGCAGGAACAGGCTTGAGTTTGGGATTGTCAAGCTTTACACTTATAAGCATAGAGAGATATTTGTGTATCTTTTATGCCCTCAGCTGGCAGCGTGATTTGACTAATGTTCACGTTGCTGCAGTAGTTTTTAGTGTATGGATTGTTCTGGTACCTACTTTCAGTCTACTATACGGCTTCAACCTTTGGGCAGCGTTCTATATTGTCTACATAATGACCTTATTAATCAATATTCTAGCTTTATTGATTATTAATGGTAAAATATTCAAGGAGATTCGCCGACATGAAACTCGCATAGCCATGGAATCTCAAGGAGCTGCAAACGCGGAAGAATCGAGAAAAGTGCGCGAAAAAAAGCGCGCCAAAACGGTATTGTGGATGCTGGCGCTTTTGTTCCTCTGTTATGGACCAACAGTAGTTCTAGCTTTGGCAGCTAGAATACCTTCTATTGACCAAGTACGGTTACAATTCGGATGGATGGCTTGTAGGACGATATCTCTGAGTCATTCAGCATTTGCTATCCTTGTGTATGGATTGAGAACAAAAGAAATCCGAAGTGCTTACAAAAATCTGCTCAAAAAACTGTGCTGTTGTCGCAGAAATCATATAGCTTAATTTTATCCGCCATACGAAAAAAGTAGTTCGGTGTTTCTAATGAAACAAATGGTAAAATATACATGGTAAAAAGATGATAAAAACACTGAATTAATGAAGCGTAATTATATGGAGTTGAGAGTAACGTTTATGGACCAAACTGAGGATCGAGCTAGCAGGCAGCATACTGACCAACCAAGTAAGGCCTACTTCTTAAAACAAGTGTGTGAAGTCACTGAGATCAAACTATGGACCTCTTGCTTTGCAGGCAGCACACTAACCAACCAAGCCACACTTGCTCCTTAGAACAAACGTGTATCTTTAAGATCAAGTTCTTGCTCAAAGCCGTTGCGCCCTAAAAATRTTTGCTAAAAAAAGTTCTGATGCAAATCTCCTCAAACTCATTAATAATTCATGAGGTCAATGACCAATGGCGACTTTGCATTGTATTCACGTGCACGCACCTTGATACTTGATCGATAACGGATCAAGACACTGATCAAAACACTGGTTTATCAAGAAAATATAAATATGGCGTAGATGGCGTGGGTAGGAGAGTGGAGCGAGCGGGGGAGGGGGGGATAACCCCCCCTCTTCTTTTTTTTACGAAAAACCTTTTAATTTGCTCGCGTGTCTTAGAAGAACAGCAGCTGCTCAGTGTGATCTATTCCTCTAATTTGTGTCTTCAATCAATTCACTCAGCTACCGGAAACTTAAGTTATTTTACATGTTAACTGTCAGTCGTGTTACAAAGAGGGAATAGGAAAGGAAACGAAAGGAAACGAAAGGAAA